AAATGTACCGTAACAGGCAAACATAGTGGAATACCCCCGGGGAACCTAGGAACTCGGAAATTAAACATGGCAACATTAGTGGCAACATTTTTGTAGCAAACCAGGTAAATACATATTTTGAACAACTAGAGATTTTACAGTGGGTTTGGTGGACGACTATTAGCTGCTGAGACCCTTGAACCCCATTCAAGCAGTTCTTTGCTAGTGTCATCTTTATGGAAAATCACTTCAATGAAGCATAGGCAGTCTTTCTTGGCTCCATTTGCTGCTTCAATTGCTTCCACCAGCTCCTCTTCACAACGAACCTACGTAGAACAGTGACATGCAATAGTTTCCATAAGATGAAACCTTTTAATTCAACATCTGAGTAAAATCAAAAGTTATGATTGAAATTTTGATGTTTAACTCACCTTGGTTGTCCAACATTTTCCTTCTCCATTATGGATTGCATCGACTAATCCGGTGTAATTCCAATTCTTGATCACATTGTAAGGTCCATCATGGATCTCAACTTCAATTGTATAGCCACCATTGTTTATCAAGAAGATAATGGTCCTTTGTCTGCACCTCAGCATCGTTGAGATATCCTGAGCGGTCACCTGCATGTATTTTGCCATAAAGTTGGATTAGACACACGGGGGAACACCAACAATTCATTCTCCTTCATTCAATTCAAACAGAGTCTGTTTACCTGAAAGCTACCATCACCGATGCAAGCAATCACCCGCTTTTCAGGTGCAGCTTGTGCGTAACCAAGAGTTGCACCGACAGACCAACCGATGGATCCATACTGCATTTGGAACTCATACCTGAAAGACAGCGAAGAACAGCAGAAGTCATTATTACGATCATGGAACGCAATACCAAACACAGTGAATTTATAGATTTCTATTGATTTGATGCTCACCCACATCCTTGTGGCAATTTCAGCTTCTGGCAATTAAACCATGAGTCCCCCGTCTCAGCAATCACAGCACTGTCACCAGACAACATATTCTGAATGTGTTGAAATAGAACATTAACCCTTAATGCCTCCTTAGGCTCACATTTAAGAGGATGTCCCTCAGGAACATAAATCCTATGGTAATTCTCATAAGCAGTCGGATTGTGCTTTAATCTCTTTGCTAATGCAGCAAGGAAATCCCTCATCAGAACACAACCAAATGCTGGTCCATTCCCAATAGTCACACGATCAGGCTGGACAATGATCGCTTTCTCTTTCTTGAGAAGCAGAGAATAACCAACAGAACTATAGTCATTAAAAATAGGTCCAGCAAACAAGTATGCATCAGCAGACTCCACCATTTCAGCACAGAATGCCGTGCTCACAGCACCCCAGTAAGTCCCAATGAAATGTGAATGATGTTCGGGAACCAACCCTTTAGCGGATGGCATCACTGCGACAGCATAACCACAGGCATCAGACAACTCAACAAAAGCATCGCATGCCTTTGCAACCCGCATTTTTGGCCCACCGACAAGCACTGGCTTTACTGCTTTGTTCAAGAACTCAGCTGCTGCCTCCACTGCTACTTCTAAGCCCATCATATTACTTAGTCTACACCCAGGAAAACGAC